CAAATTTCCCCCCCCCCCCCCCCACTTGCCTCAACCAGATGCCCCTCCATCTTACCTCCAAGGCCACTACGATGACCACAGCCCTGTTCTTGGCATTCAGTCCCACATTATGGAGCCCCTGTACCCCCATCCCCAGGCCAGACATGGGGGGTAGGTCAAGCCAGAGAGGGTCACGGATACCCTCAGCACAGTTCTTTACCAGGGGGTACAGGGCACCGTTACCGTCCTGAAGCACCACCGGTGTGTCCTGGGGAGCACAGAGGACTTTTTGGATTATCAATAATAATAATAACAACAAAGTAAATTAAATGATTTGCAAGAGCTTCATATTTAATATTTTTGCAACGAAAACAATGTGTGTGTGTTTGTATGTATGTGTGAATGTGTGTGTGTGCACGCGCGAGTGTGCAACCACATTTAACCCACCTCTCCTGCATTAATCAGAGCTATATATTTAATATTTTTCCAATGAAAACGTGTGTCATTGTGTGATTGTGTGTGTGCGCACATGCGCAGGCACATGTAACCCACCTCTCCTGCATTAATCAGAGCTATATTCCTCTCACTCTTCCCAGTGAAGGCAGTAGTATGTGTGGGAAAGAGACGGTCCTGGTCTATCTTTCCAGTACTCAGGTTATAGACCATGTACTTCATCTTGTTACCTGTACGTGCCACCATGTGGATACCTGGGACAGGGAAACCAGGGGATCAGAAGATGTTAACATACAGGTAACTGTACAGGTAGCTGGGGCTGTCTATATATATAATCCCAGCCACAGGTACATAATGAGACCACAGTGCCTTTTATGGACAAATGTCAATACAGTGCTGCGAGAGAGACTGTGGACTGTAAGTTAAAGGAAAATGCTTAAACAAACTCTAATTTGGTTATGCAAACTGTAAAAGAAAATGAAGATTTTTAGTATGGGAGTTTTGCCTCAGAGGTTTGCAGTAAGACCTAGCTGAGTGTTAACCGTAAAAGCAGTTGCCTCCTACCATGACAGTCCACTGTAATGGCCAGTATCTGTCCACTGTCTGGCACCATCACCTTCTTGGGGACCTTCTGGAAGCAGTCTGGGATCCTGGGGGCATTGCTGCCCTTGATCACCTGAAACATATACATATATATATATATACCTATACACATATAACTATCTACACACAATATGAAAGCAGTCTGGTATTGGAGGGAGGCATTGTTGCCCTTGATCACCTGCAACATGGACACATATATTTACCTAAACACTTATACATATACCTCAATCTATCTTTACTATCCCTACCATTAAACTGTCTACTAGTTTCCCCCCTTCCCCTAGCTCCCTACCCTTAAAATATACAAAAATGCCGAGTTCGTACCATAAAAATCTAATAGTTGCCCCCTCCCCCTGCCTCTCCACCCCCAAAATATACACAAAATCCCGACTTCCTGCCATTAACAACAATCCTACAGCTGTGCCATCTGCCCCCTTACCACCCCCAAACACCTACTCAACCTGGGTTCTTACCTTTGACAGTCAAATAGTCCCCCCCCCCTTCTGCATCCCCCCACCTTCAACATATCCACCAACCCCTACCATCAACTCATCCTTCCTCATCAGTCTACAGTCCTGTAGCAGCACTGCCGAGTCTTCCTTGGCCTCTCCTTCCTTGTTGTTGAACTTCACTGCCACGTACACGCCGTCCACCTTGAGCACGCGCCCCATGGGCACTGTCTTGACATCTTCCACGAAGCTGACGTCCTTCAATGCCCACTCCTCCTCGTCGTTCTTGTTCTCTATCAGTTCTTTCACTGGTGTCTGCTGTTTCTTGCGCTCTGTGGGGAGAAATGTTTAGAAGTTAACAGGATGATGTACGCTTTTAAGCATGCTTTCGCGTGTGCACACACACACATATATATGCAAAGCTTTGTTCCATCACAACAATGTCTAAAATATCTCTTACTAATTGTTTACAAATGTTTTAAAACAGGTTTCTGCTATATATGTCCTGGTTGCACAAGTTATTTGGATCAGCATTACTAATGCGAAATTTTCTATAAGATACATCTACCATAATAAGCTGCCATTGAGTTCAGACAGCTGTATCAACAAAACATACACTTTGTATAAGGCAAGGTATTTATGCACGTGCCTGCATGTGCGTGTGCCTGCCTGCATGCATTTATATGTTAGTTTTAATAAAATGTGTATGTGAGTAAGATCAAGCTTATGGTAGTTGCACTCAGAGTCCAAGATAACAGTTAGGGTTTTGTGTGTGCCTGTATGCATGTGTTCGTGTAAGTCTTACGTAGAGTCAGAGATACCAGTTTGTGTTAGGTTATGCCTGTATGTGCATGCATGTGTGTGTGTGCCCATGCATGTGTTACTTGGTCTTACTGAGAGTGCCAGGGCTCCGTAAGGTGGGTCCGCTCTGATCACTGCATGTCGAGGAGGCTGGAGATGGGGGTGGTGGCATGTCAGGTTTACTCTCACATGACATACTCTTACTCTCCTGTCTCAGCTCAACTCTTGGCTCACTGAAACACAACCAAAATGCACAATAGGCATACATTTCACCAATATAATGTGAGACTAAACCGAGTAATTGCCATAACAAAATACGCTAAGACATCATGAAACTTTATAAAACTGACCAGTGCCTTGTGAGAACAAAGATTATATCAAGACAAAGTTTACAGCTTTGTGAACACGGCCTCTTACCTGACAATAGTTTACATCAAGTCTAAGATTACACAGTCTTAGTTTACAGTTTTGTGAACACAGCCTCTTACCTGACAATGGTTTTGATCTTAAATCTGCAGCTATCATTGAGAGTCCAAGCACTCTCCATCAGCTGCCCGACCTTGGGTACCCCACCCACCGTGGTGAAGGCCAAGGCACCTGTGTGGTACATGGGACAGCTGCGCAGACAGACCTGGAATAGTACAGTTGACATGGGTGAATGACAGACTGGAATACAGGGGGCACATGTTAATCCTGATTTGTACTGTGGATGTTGTGCTGGAGATTTTAGAATATTTACATGATTGATTCATTTTTACCCCCCTTCCTTCCTCTTTCAAACACACACTCTCACTGTAACAAACCTCTCTCTCTCTCTCTCTCTCTCCAAACCCCCCTCTCTCTCTCTCTCTTTCTCTCTCTCTTGTTTTTACCATAAGGTTCCTTTACATCATCTCTCAGTTTTATCTAGTGTCATATTAGTAAATTTTCAATTCATTTATCTGCCCCCCCCCCCACACCCCCAAATCTCTCTCCTACCTGACTTCCACACTGTATGTCAGAGGCTGTGGATGCACTGTGCTTGGATTTCTTGGTCTTGGCTCTTGCTTTCTCGATCAGTTTCTTTCTTTGGCCGAAAGGCATCACTCCCCTTCAAACAACAAGTACAATATTTATACACTCAGGTTTTTAAGGAAATTTGAAGTTATACACCTTGTTTCATTATTGATATTAAAGAAAAACTTATATCACTAAAACCAATATTACATTTTATCTAATATAAACAGCAGAATTACATTTTTCCAATCCTTACCCCTCCCACCCCTTGCAATAAATTCTGTTTCAACTCACCACCAATAGAGGGCCCCACTCTCCAGTCTGGCACACGTATACAGGGAGCAGGCGTGGAGCGATACAATTTTGTCTGAGGTGAATTCGGCAAAGCTCTGGGCAGCATGTTCCAACTTGGCTGCCACTATCCCCAGTGAATCATCAACAAATGTGGCCACCTGAGATACAGTGGTTGAAATCATTATACAGAATTACAACTTAATTTAGATTTTAAATCAAAATGCACAGTTAAAATACAAAAGTTGTGATAGCATTTTCTGCACAAAAACGTTTTGACATTCTGTAAGTCAATGCAATTATAAATTAATATAAATTACACAAAATGTATGCTTATCATACAAACCTAATGATAGCACAGTCTAAACAAAAATGTTTTAAAAATCTCTTTAAGTCTATCCAAAAATAAATAAATAAATAAATAAATAAATAAATAAATATTTTTAGCATTCTTGTCCTCTCATACTTACCTTCCCAGACTCTGTGAAGAGAGAGGCTCTCACACTACATGTTGCCAGTCCTATGATTTTCTCTGACACCAGGCCTAGCTGTGATGTCTTAGGGTGGTGAAGGTAGGGGCTCTGGAATAATAATAATAATAATAATAATAATAATAATAATAATAATAATAATAATAATGTCATAATTTTAATAAGCATTAAATGTTTCCATTTGCAATTTACAGGTTCTTTACACTACACTGAATAAAATAACAAATCAAAATCAACTTGCAGCAGACTAGGACAGCCTAAAAAATGTGCTTCTAAGCTTTAATTTTTGTCAACACTTGTTTTAAATGCAAATGTATGGAATTGTATTCATTTCACTGGCATCTGTTAACGCTTTTTATGATTAAAACAAATGAATCAATGATAGTTTTGGTGATTTCTGAGCCTCACCTCAGCACAGTAGAAAGGCTCCATGTCCATCCACCTCCACTGGAACAGCTGACCTGTAGAGCTCAATGCCACCAGCTCACTGTGCATGCTGGCTATCTGGATAAACTTGGGGGTAGGCCCGTCCTGGAAGATACCAGAGACATCTACAGGTTATTTATACCATCTCATGTTTTGTTTCACTTTCACCGATTCCAGGAAAAAGAAATTAAATTAATTTTAAAAAACTGAAAAATTTTCCTCCACTTCCACTCTTTGTATATTTCCTGCTTTTAGTGAGGTTGCAAACCACGGGTTTTGCGGTATAGTGGACAATCATCACAACAGTTTTTTTAATTCTTTGGCATCCTTATAACCCCTTTAATAAATATATATCTGTTGGGTAACAAGAATGTATCACTGAGCATTTTGAGAAATCCATAATGGAAGCAGGGCGATATAATGCCAATTATTAATTATTTACTCAAAATGCAGAAGAATACACAATTTTTTCCCACCAGGTGTATATCATAAAGGCACTGAAGATATGAAAAACACTTAAAAACAACCATAATCCAGTGTTGATGAAACTGGACCCAGATGGTCCACTGAGACAGCTTGTACCAAGACAGACCAGCCCAAACAGACCAGGTCCCAGTTTCACAAAAAAACTTAAGTCAGTTCAGTGGCCTAGTTGACTAGGATTTCCATGAGAGTGCTGTTACACTGCTCCTGATAGGCTAAGTTGTGCCCAGGTGACCACGTAACCTTTGTAATTTAAGTTCTTAGCCAGGGAACCTGACTTAAGTTTTTTGTGAAACCAAGGCTAGAACCATGCCTGATCTTACCCTAACACTCCAGAACTGTAACTCCTCTCCAAAACACATGGGGTTCTGAGATGGGTTGGTCTTCTTTTTATTCAGTGGTTCGTTCCCCAGAAGGCCTTCCGTACGGTCGCGGTCCAGACTTCGTAGGGCGTTTTCATCACGGAGTGCGCTGTCTAGCCAACGCCGGTCTCGCAGTCGAAACATGGACTCGCGTTCTCTCTCCAGAGTGCTGTCTCTGTCAGTTGCTGTTGGTAGAAAACAGAAGCGGTTAAAGTGATGCAATTCAGACAGTGAGGCACATTTTGTTGTACGCACTCTATTTATGATCTCTAATTACAGAAGAGTTCCATCATGATCAAGAAAGGTTTTCTGCTTTCAAAGCGAGCACTAATACCCCATCATGGTATTACAACACACAGAGTTTCCAAAAAAAACTTTGGTCAAGTGGTGGGCCTTTTGTTCCACCAAGGTCTAATAATCTTATAACACAAAATAGTGGTCAGAAACTAACAACAAATATTCAAAATAAACCAGCCAAGTTCTAATTTTACCAGCTTTGATGAGAAGCCATTGCTGATATCACAGAATGTTAAAGGTTACTATTTGGTTATTTTTAATGCATTAAGTCTACTCACTGGTACCCCGCCCTCTGTTTGGACGTGACCTCAAGCTAGAGTAGCCAAACATGTCCTCGTTAAACATGGCGTCTGCGTCTATAATGTAACCAGGGTGGTCAGCATGGATGCCGGCATCAAGCAGCGATATCAGGTCATCTGGAACAAAACCAAAGATAACAACCAATCATTAACAGGGAACTGCATTTGGAAAATAGGCATGAAAGGTGAAACACAGCTTTTGAATATTACAGCACATCAAATCATCGATCATATTTCTTCCAGACACGAGAAAACTTCACTTTCTATGGACAGTACATCCAACTACCAGGTGAGACAGCAAAGATTCCCAGTTACCTTGCATATAGGAATCCTGGCTATCTTCATCATTCTCGTCACCTTCATCATCACGGCTCAGAAGATTGTTGACAGCCAAATTGACATCTAGATTCTAAAGAGACATTATGCCTTAAGGTTATAAACTGTGCAGCACAATGAATTAAACTTACATCTGGATTCTGATGGAACTGTATAACATTAGGCAACACACTGTGGATGTATTAAATTTTATAATAAAACAAAGAGTCAAGAAGGAACCTGGAGTAAAGATCACTATCGGTGAAAACCAAAGTGCATTTCAATAAAAGAACACCTTATAAAAAACAAAAGAAGCAATGTTCAGGACTGTAAACTTACTGTTCTCTGTAGTTCTCTGATAATTAAGTTTCTAGACTTTCCTTGCAGCACAACCTGGCACTGAATAGAAGAAAAGAAGCATTCATTTAGCTAGTTTAAGAATTTGACTTAAAAGAACATAACCTAATCAGAATAATACTAATTATATTTAGTTATTCCACTTATATATAAAAATTGCTTATATATAAAAATGCATGCTACCACATCTAGAGGAAATGCCACCTGTTAATTAACAATTAATCCCCAATGTGTCATTACCTGTGGAAAGATGAATTGAAAGAGCCTAGTGCATGCTATAACTACTATCTGAACCTCCCTGTCTTGGATCAAAGCGCCCTCTAGCAGTCACCTCACCTGGTTAATCAAGTCCTCTGGCACCACACTGGCCGGGACCAGTGGCCTTGACCCCACTATGACCCCTCCTCTGCCGCGCCCTGCTGCTCTCACCACACGGCCGTGGGGGCGTGGAGGGGCACGAGTCAGACTGCTCCCTGCCGCCTGTCCTGTGGTCCCCCGCGAGCTGGAGGGCGTGTTGTTCATGGCTCCCCAGCGTCTGAAAAAACATAATCTCTGTCAGTGATGGTGAAAATCACTTTTAAATGAGATCTTCTTATTCTGGGTCGAGTTTCTCAAAATTAAACAGAATCTTTGTCAATGACTTCTTATTCCGGGTTAAGTTTCACAAAAGAATTTTATTATAGAAGTCTTCTAAAAGTCAAAACCAAAATTTTCATTCTCCTCTGACCCAAGTTGGTGGCCCACCTAAATAACAACTGGGCCTCATGGTCAGGAAATGAGTTTTTAATGTGTTTGCCTTAATTGTTAATAATTACTGCATTTATTTGATTTACGTCTTACTGCTGTGCATTATACTATGTATATATGTCTCTTGTATGTAAGAATTCTTGTAAAGACTACTTAACAAACTTTTATTAATTTTAGACTTAAAATAAATTATTATTATTATTATTATTACTACTGAGAATAAATGAATTTTTAAGACCTAGACAGTTTATTGCTGACTAAATATACACATAAATCAACACTTTAAAGCTGGATAAAATGGCAAGATATCAAAGCTTCTGGGAAGACCATTCATTTATCTGAAATTCTTCAGCAATTGGCTTATCAAACAAACACAATGATTAAACATCCCAGCAAACATTTGACATGATCTAGTTTGAGGAGAACTATGGCTATAACTCCTGTATTTAACATAAGTTTTTCTTCCTGTTCACTCACTGACATATCAAAGACAATCAAAGACACAGGGACACACACACACCACAATATCAGAGTATTCTGAATGTGACACAAAGAAGTAGTCCACGACACATTATAAAATAGAATTGCAATGCACAGGGATAGTGCTTTTTTTTTTTTTTTTTTTTTTTGCTTTTCAAAACTTTGGATCAAATCAAAATTATCAAATCAATCTGTGTAAATAAAAAATGTAAAGAGTACAAAAATAAAATTGATCAACAGAATTAAATACAAAAAAGGTTATTCAATAATCTCTAAGGCAAAGGAATTCCAATCCCATGAATAATTTTAATTCAATCCATAAGAAAGAACAGTAAATTCGCCCCTAACCTAAAACATGTGAAAAGACTACAATGCCAACACATTCATGATCAGTTTGAAGCCAGTCAGTCAGGCGTAAGACCCTGAAAGTGTAGGTATACATAATTATATAATATATATAAATATACATTTGCATACAGTAAGCAAAAAGAGTCAGAAGCTGTGGCCGGCATATGTAGAATAAATGCGCTCACCCAACTTCCTGTATGGCCACAGCACCTGCGGCATCAGAAACCAATAACAGCGCCTGAGCGTCAGCAAAACGAGTGCCGCCCCGCTGGCGCGCTACGCCTCCCTGTGCAGGATTGGTGGAGCTATGGGAGAGAAAATGGCTGCTTTAGTGACGTCCTAACTACCCTTAACTACTAAAGTACATAGTTTATCTATATGTATAGTTGTTTTGTCTTTTTTTTTTCTTCTCACATTTTTGATCTGTGATGCTCATTTCATTTTCTCACTTTTGGTCAACACAAAAAGGTTTTCAGTAACTTTGAAATAAATCAGATCATTTTTTTTTTTTTTTTTTGTCATTGTGGATATGGCTGCTTAAAGACAAACTGAGGCAAAGAAAATTTTTTTCAGCAAGAAGGTAAGAATCCCTCTACCAAGGTTCAATGGATTGTTTCTCAAATATAACTTATTTTGGCACTTATCAAATCCCAGGATTCTATTATTTTCAGAATTGACCTGTGACTTCGTCACCCTATCAGATAAAGTATAATTGTTCTTCCACCACCAGAAACCTTTTCTTTGGCAGAATCTTTTTTTTTTTTCCTAGTTAGTAACTGTAGTGGACAGACAGTGGACAAATAGTGGACGAGACAACACAGACAGACAGGCATGCTTCCTAATACATTATACTGAAACATTCCAAATGTCATCACAGCCTTCAGTGTCAACCAGCCCCCCCCCCTCCCTGCAAACGTTAATATACACATGACCCCACCCCCCTTTTTTTACCTCTGAACATTTATTGTGTGACAAAACTAATCAGCTGGGCTCCAGGAAAGTCCCCTCAAAAT